GTGTGTGTGTGTGAGAGTGTGTGAGTGAGGGTGTGTGTGTGTGTGTGAGTGAGTGAGTGTGTGTGTGTGTGTGTGAGTGAGTGAGGGAGTGAGTGAGTGAGTGTGTGTGTGTGTGTGTGTGAGAGTGTGTGAGTGAGTGTGACTCGTATATTGACACATTATTAACCTGTATTTCATCGGATCGTCCTCGGACTATTGTTCACATCCCTAATGCTGCATTTGTTCGTTTCTCGGAGCTTTACTGCAGACACTGAGCAAATGAAACTCCCCCATCAGGGCAGCTCAAGCTAAGCTCGAGCATTAACAGACTCAATGGAGAGGAAAATAATCGCCTTACCTTCTGCACACCGGGCGCCTCTACAGTAACATGGCTTTCTAGTGCATACTTAAACACCCATTCACTCCTGAGCAATCACCAGCACAAAGTAGAGTTTCTTCAGATTGTTTCTAAAGTGTGTTGTAATCTTCACTGAGTGCGAGTCAACATTCCTCGCATATCCACACAGCAGTGACTACGCTCACGGATTTGACCCAATAGGAGTGCCGCATTACGTTCTGAACACGCCCACTTCCACCTCGTTGGCCAATCACCGCCCTGGATGGCGGTTGCTGTCCGCAGTGCTGAAGTTGTTGTTTGGTGGGCGTGTTAACGACTGACCTCATTATCATTGGAGTATTTTCATAAATATAAAACAAATGCATTCTTCAAAAGTGTTCTTTACTGCAATTATTTATTGCAGTAAAGTGTTTTTAAAAAGTTAATCGTATTTCAATCACAAGAGATTTCAAATAACCCCAGAAAAGGAGTTAACAAGTGCTCTAATTAATGCCCAACTAAAGACGAATATCTTGCTGAAAAAGAGATACTTTTATCAACAACCAAAATAAATGTTTCAAATATTTAATAAATTATGAAAACTGGTAACAACTGTTGAGAATCTAGAGTGGAGTTCTTCCTCACTGTAAAAATAAATAAATAAATAGAATAAAAAATACTAGCAATTTCTGAGTGAAAATTGCTTCTGTAATATTTTTAGTGCTCGTGCATCTGCATTATTTCACCACTAAGAGGCAGAGTTTCCATGTCAAGTCATATCTACTGTATACCTCCACATCAGTGCTATCATGCTTAGCATTATATTCGATATTTACTGTAAGTAGACTTCCTATCTAACGCTCAAACACACTTTCAAAGGTAACTTATATATTCGTCTTATGGATGATGTTTTAACTTTGGGGTACATAGAGAAATAAGACATTTATTTTTCTTTCAAATTATTTATTTCCTAATTATTTGGGGACATTATCGGATAAAATGCATGGAGGGAGCGAGAGGATGAGGGCGGAGCGTAAATGACCGATAATCTGGCGCTCAGATGAGATCAGATCAGAGCAACATCACACTCTTCTGCTGCAAACCGGCTTCTAACTTGCCTCTAGTGCTGCACATCAGCCAGTGACCGCGGGGACAATCAGGGATGCTATCATATCATAAGTTCCGTATCAGTTACAAAATATTATTACTTGCCTATAAGGCCCTTAATGGGTTAGCTCCTGCATACCTAACTAGTCTGCTACCACGCTACAATCCATCACGCTCCCTAAGGTCGCAAAACTCTGGACTTTTGGTAGTACCTAGGATAGCAAAGTCCACTAAAGGAGGTAGAGCTTTTTCGCATTTGGCTCCCAAACTCTGGAATAGCCTTCCTGATAACGTTCGGGGTTCAGACACACTCTCTCTGTTTAAATCTAGATTAAAGACACATCTCTTTGGCCAAGCATTCAAATAATGCATCTCATAATCTTATACTGAAGTTATATCTGATCAAATGCACATTATTATTCGTTAGTTAAACAAATCATTTTTGCTTGGTTGAAACAGCAGCTACGCTAATTATGTTTCTATTTGTTTCTCTGTTTTTTT